ATGCGGAGGTATGTAGAGTTTGGAACATCGCAATATTCATTTTGGTCTGATTCCTGTCTCCTCAGCGTCAGGACATAGCCAAAGTATGGGACGTCATCAAGGGTTTCGGCTACTCCAAGATTCAGGGAGAGCTGAAGGGCCTTCAAGTCCATTCCTTGCGCAACATATTCACTCTGGAGGTCACCATGCACTCGCTCTTTGAGGATCTCAAGCTATGGTTCGTCCCGACTGTGAGTAGTTGAAGCCATTCGCCGTCGAAGGCTTCCTTACCAGCGTCTCATCAGGAGACACCGAATCGCTATGTTGTCGAGGCATCGATGCCTGGACTTTTCGAGTGCGGAATGATTCCGCGCACCATCGAGTTCAAGACCACTGAGTCTGACCTCGAGTTGCCGTCTGGGGAGTATTTAAACATTCGCGCCACTTGTTGTCGGGTATACCATTTGTCAGGTGCTGCGAAGTACTTTGATAAGCTGTATAACGACGATGATCTGGCCGCCGCCGAAGATCTACTTGCCACCGACGATCTGGCCGCCGCCGCCGATCCAGCTGCGGACGACGATCTTGCCACCAGGGCGGCCTCCACCGGTCAATTTGCCGAGGTGCCAGCGGTCCGTCTGCACGATATCCGCCCAATCGATATTCAACATATCAAAGTCGCATAAGACAACCTGATTGCGTTTCCTTGCAGACTTTGATACCTCGGGCTTACTTGTACATTATCATAATTCATAGTGGTAGTAGCTGAAGGAAGTAGTTATTGGGGTGGAGTGCATAGTGCGCCATGTCAATGAGGTATACCGGTAATGCTGATAGCCAATGGAATTCCACAATTTTAAACGTTCCCTCCATGCCGGCACTACCTATCTCCATCCAGTCATCTCCTGCAGCATTGAAGTGTCATACGACGGGGTCCTACTCGCCGCGGCCTGTATGAGTATGTGTCATGGGCTGAGGTTCATTATGTGTTGGGTGGGGCGACAGGGGGTGTTGGAGCTCATCGAGCCAGTTTGTTAGCAGCACTATTTGCTGAAGATTTATGTACTTGTGAGCTGAGGACGTCGGATCTATGGAGAGAAAGGCTATATAGCTCTGGCCCGCTTGGCATGGACAGACTTCTCAAGGGTTATTTGACTGCTAGCGGAAGGAGTGACTACGACGAAGACCTGATTATCCCACTAGTTGTGTGGCTGCAGTCGTGATCAGTCTCCGGGCCGCTGTATAGTGCGTGCGGCGAAGCTGAACATGTCGAAAACAGTACTCATTACATGAAGTATGGTATCGCGTTTGATGTAGAATTACCGTGCAGGCGGACCGCCCTCTGTTATGATGGGCATGGTGGCATGGGATATTAGTTCCTCTTTCGTCTCTGACTCTAGTTTAGTAGTACTGCCTTTGTCGACTCATAGAGCGCAGCCTCACTGACTCACCCGCAGTCCCTTTGACTAGTAGACTAGTCCTTAGGTTAGGTTGAGCAGTAGTATAAATACCCCGCGCATGTACAGTAGAACTTCAGCTTTCAGCTCCTTGTAAATTCACGATTCTTTATTCTGCTTCAACCTCATCTGCGGATAAGGCAATCAGACAAGCTTCAGGCTTGCAAAGAACCCTCTGTCATAACATTAGCTGAAAGCTTCTCAACAAGGCAGACCTAAGACAGGTCTACGCCACGAAGAATAGTCAAGACGACTACTCCACAAGCAACTGGGGTGAACGACTGCGCCACAGCAGCACACAGACATAACCTTAGGCCTGACAATAGGCACGACTACAACCGATACAATGAAGGACACTGGAGACGTTGTTTTCAACAACTCTTCTCCAACCGATACTACGCATACCCAGGAACTGTATGAGTACCACAAGGACTCGCCCTCTGCGAACCAGCACAAGAAGAATTTATTTGAGAAAGAGACAGGCTTAACAAAGAAGCCAGACTTAGAGAAGAACAAGCCCAACAAGTAGCTCAACTACCCACCAGTGTACCACCATCCAGACCACATACGCCACACCCATATGATCAATCTCGCAGACATAGCCGAGCACCCAGCAGGGCAGAAACCTCTACCTCTATCGAAGTAGACAACGAAACACCCGAAGTACAGCAGCAAGGATCACTTCAGGTACCAGAAATCAGACTCGAACCATTTGACATTCCCCTGCCAAACCTTGACGTACCCATCCCACCTGAATGACAGGAAGAAATATATGAAGTTACCAGACAACTTCAGACCACCTCCACGATGGCAGACACAAATACTCTCATGTGAGAAATGATTGAGGCACTTCAAAAAGCAAATGAACATGCCTCTACCCCGAAGCCCCAGAAGTTTGATGGCACGCAGCGAATTCAGGACTTTCTGAAAGACTGCGACATCTACTTTAAAGGCAAAGACACAACCAAGGATGCAAAGAAAATTCTCTTTGTACTCAACAACACCGAGAAGAAGCCACACAACTGGTGTCGCACCAAGTTTGACGAATACGAAGCCAGCACGGCTTGGCCCACATGGACCAAATTCAAGGAAGACTTCGCCAAAGCCTTCCAAAAGGTGGATAGCGAAGTCGATGCCATCGTAAAACTCGACAGAATTATGCAAGCAGACTTCGACTCAGTCAATGACTACAATGTCAAATTTAATCGACTTGTCAAAGAAGCCAAGTACAACAACCTGAGCACAGACACCTATCTCCAACGCACCTATACAGGAGGGCTCAAATCCGTCCTTGCAAAGACTCTCATCCAACGAGAAAAGAAGCCAACCACACTCCAAGGATGGCAAGAAGAAGCACTCAAGTTGGACAATGCAGAGATAGAATAGGACAAGCTCAGACAAGGAAGACAAAGGGGAAGGATCAACAAGACCACCTCTCACTCTGGAGGAAATGGAGGAGGAGGAAGAACTCAGAAACGCGACCCTGATGCCATGGATATCGACGCCGTCTCCCGAGACCAAACACATCGAGAAGGACGATGCTTCAATTGCGAAGGCAAAGGACATATTGCCAGAAATTGCCCTTCGCCCAAGAAACCTCAGCAATGAGATCAGCAAGGAAGATACCAACCCAATCGCTCGCAACAGGGCAACCGCTCTCAGACAAACCAACGTTCAGGATAATGGAATAAAGGAAATTCCACCAATGTCTGCACCACAACAGTCAGAGAGGAATCCAACCTCATTGATCTCCATAACGAACCCAGAGATTTGGTCAAAGAAGTAACCAAACTCTCTCAGGACGATGCTAAGGATCTTTTCACCCATTACCTCCTCGAAGCTAATCCGGATTTTCATGTCTGAGGGTTGCCCCAACGTCAACATCTCTTAGAATATCAATTTCCTCTGTATTAATTGCCAACATGCAATCAAAATCAATGTGTATTCCCATCCAAATCAGAGCGAAAGAAACCATTGGAAAAGTCCTTGCACTAGTCGACTCAGGAGCACAAGGCAAATTCATCAATCGATGAACAGTCCGGGAGTTAGGACTACAAGAAAAACCCTTGAAAAGACCAATCAAGGTATTCAATGTCGACGGAACCCCGAACAAATTAGGGTTCATTCGCAACGAAGTTGAAATCGATATGAACGTGGGAAACCAACCTACCAAAGAAAGGCTGTTAGTTACCCAATTAGGCAAACAAGACATCATCCTCAGTATGGACTGGTTACAAGAAAGAAACCTGTCCATCAACTGGAACAAGGGCACTTTAGACTTCTCAAAAAGAATTCAAAGATGCGAAATCGAGGAATTACTGGATAATGAAGGAAGAAGCATTAATACTCTTCCGTCCAACGACTCAGCACTCCTTAGAGAAGAAACAGAATTTGCGGTCACCATCTCAGAAGGAGGACAAATACCCACTAGAGGAACAGAGGAAGCCACAGGACTTGATCTCTATGCAAGCAAAGACCAGATAATACCACCTTAATCTCGCATGCTTATCAAAACAGAGCTAAGTGCTCAAGTTCCTGAAGGAACCTATAGACGAATCGCACCAAGAAGCGGACTAGCAGTCAAGAGAATCGACGTAGGAGCAGGAGTAATCGACAGAGACTATACTGGAGAAATCTGCATACTCCTCATCAACTCCAAAATCAAAGAATACAAGGTCGTCAAAGGAGATTGAATGGTGCAATTAGTACTTGAACAAATCTCTATGGCAAAACCCAAGCAGGTCGAAACCTTACCAGGAACTAAACGAGGATCAAAAGGGTTTGGATCCACCAATACCAAAACCGTACAAAAAGCCAGACCAGAAGAGATAGCCTGGCATGTACTGCATCTTCTCAGAAAAAGAGCACCTCTGGACCGGTCTATACACATCTCTTCAATAATTGCCTCAGAACCCATCATACAAGCTGAACAATGCGAAGAAGGAGACTATATCCTCGCATACACTCCAGGAGACTCTTTCGCATACACCATGCGCACCAAACCAGATGAAATGGCCAAAGACATAGC